TCGTTGATTACTGTCAAAGTGTAATTGCGATATAGTTTTGTGAGTTTTGTTTCTTACATAGAAATGTGAGATTGAATGTAGAATGTGTTGCAAAGTAAAAAACATGGTATATAACATAAACATTTTTTTAAGCACGATATTGAACCTTGAAATATGAAAAACAACAGTTAATATGTTATTTTTTTCTTTTGACACAATAACTGGCAATGTATCGCATCGCGATCGTTGGAAATAAGTAGGCTTCGTGCTTTCATTCGCTTTTGTGTCGACTTACAGCGTGTTGCGGTTGGCACGGTTTGAAACTAGGTCACTCTGTAGGCAGGTGTACCTACAGATACGGGACTTACAGACGTGTGTGAATAGCAACGCTCTTTGCCTATTGATCCCCTCCCCTGTCCATCTCGAGTGTCAACCTTATGTAGAGGTATTTTTATCTGCAAACTGTTGTATTATACTCGTATATTTAAGTATATACGTTTTTATTAAACAACTGTACAATTGCGTATCTACTGTTTCGCGTTAACGATTTAACATGACGATAACAACAATGACCAGCAGAGTTATTAAATATTTGTTGTCGGGGAGGATATGTGTTCTGAGTTTTTTTATCTAATTTATTTAGCATATATTTATGTTGCGTTGTTTATTGGTTGAAATACTAGCACATATTTTTCTTTAATGTCTATCTATCGAAAATAATAAGAAGCGCCACAACGAAGGTTCAGGTTATGAATTTCCGATCATGTTTTCGACGGTTCGAATCTTGTTATACGACTATTGTAGTAAACTACAGCAAAGCCTACAGTCAAAGTATAAAACCAAATTGAATCAATAATAAAACTTGAAACAAACAGGGACTCTGACCTATCTATGTTGGAGGAACACTAAAATAAAAAAGCCTACAGCCCGGAATGGCAAAAGAAATATCAGTAAAATGAAAATAATCCAGCGATATTTGAAATAAAAGAAATCAGAATGTCTTCTTAATTTTGTGTTATAACCATTATCATCATTAACAAACTTTATCTGCCCACTGTTAGGCTTTGGCGTTCAATACATTCCACAAACGACAATAAATTAAATTAACTCTGTATATTAAAGACTTTTGACATACTGTATAGATATTTATGAATGCAGAAGGAAAAGTGTGCCAATAAACATGTTTAATATGAATACGTGTGACCCAGAAAAACTGGCGTGATTTTTCCAAGGATATCAGCTCGAACAATAATAAAATTATAGAGTAATTATTTAAGCGCCTGTAGAAAATGTAAAAGTTAAATGCCAGTAAGGTTTTTTAAAATTAAATACGAATAGAAAATGAAGTAGGTAAAAATTTTGTGTGATTGAGCGACTAATTTTCTCTCTTGTTTCTTTAACTAGTTTTTGCCCGCGTCACCGACCGCGTGGACCGTAAAAAAACATAAGTCAGTAGACTATGTATTCTTCCAGACTATCCCCTACATCTGAACCAAATTTCAGCGCAATCCGTTCAGCCGTTTAGGCTACAACATCTAACATACATCCATCCATCCATCTAAATTTTCGCATTTATAATATTACTAGCCATTTCTCCCGCGACTCCGTCAGCGTGGAATTAAAAATAACTGAGTAGCTTATGTGTTCTTCCAGATTATTCTTTACGTCTATGCCAAATTTCCTCGAAATCCGTTCAACCGTTTTGGCTACAAACTCTTACGAACATCCATCCATCCATCTAAACTTTCGCATTTATAACATTAGTATGAAGTATCATAATATTAGTAAGTAGTACAGTATATAGTATAGTATGATTAGTATGATAATTTAGAGACGCTTTGTAATGACATCACTTGTAAGGCATCTTTATTGTCATCACGTACAAATAGAAACATATAAGGTATCAAAAGTAAAAGATTTTTATTTGATCCCATTTGTGAAAATATTAAGAATCTATTTAAGAAATATCGTAGTGCCTATTTTAGAGACTAAATTTATATTATTATATTAGCCGCCACTTTCGTCAACACAGAACTAATGTAGCTTATGATTTTCCCGCCTGCATTAGCTACCTTCCCGAAATGCCGTCAAATTAGGTCCAGCCGTTTCAGAGATTGTTGCAACGCGACATTGCGAACAGACAGATAAAAATTTAATGAACGTCATTTTATTAAGAAACTATACAAATGCATTTAGTTTATTTTTTTGATATTATATATATACATTCTAATTGTACAAATAGATTGGTCAGATATAGTTTTTGAAACATCCGCTATTCAAAAATCAGATATAAAATTAGAATGTTGATTAATCTACGAAAAAATTGGTTAAAAGAATTTAATTACTCTTTGTTCACTAATGATCGAATAATGCTAAGTGTTTTATGTAATCAAAAACCAATTAAGCGCTAAACACCAATTTTCGTTGAAATCTAATTGAGAACGGTTTATTGAAAATTTTTCTACAATTGTTTTATTTTGATCTTTTAACGAATTTCAATTAAGCTTGTAAAGTAAATTGAATAAAGTCATTGAAGAATTTTAAAGCTGTTATATTGAAAATCTTACCCGTCTCCATTAAGTTGATTTTATTTTTTAGAAGAACCAAACGGCGATTGTTAACGCCTTTTTCATTTTTAACACAACACTTACACTTGTCACTTATTTAAAACTTTTAATTTTTGTAGTCACGTTTATTGTAATCAGCATGTTTTCACTGCGCCTTGTAAATTATTTATAATCTGGGAGAGGTTTGAAGAGATAGACGATTGGTGTATCGAGTAATCATTTTCAAAGTACCTACTTAAAAAGTTTTTAGAGTTTGTAGCCTAAACGGCTGAACGGATTTCGATGAAATTTTGTATAGTCGTAGAGGATAGTCTGGAAAAACGCATAGGCACACTTTTTTTTAATTCACGAGAAGTCGCGGGCACAAACTAGTAATTAAGTAATTGAATAATTGTCGAATAATTTCTAGTAATTTGAAATGTAATTAAAACTGAAATAATTCTTTCTTTGTTAAATATGAAAAAGTCCTAGCGTGGATAATGTTAGTTTCAAAATTGATACCTGCGGCTTAGTTCAAAGTTGGCCGTAAATGTAAATGCCACAACGGTTGGTATCGATTTTAGTATCGTCCATAGAACATAAATGTCCTTTATGTTTAACGATCGGTTATTTTCATACCAGTCAAATAATAAATAAATATTAAATGTGAATTCCGAATAGAAATATAAAAGTTTCAGTCATAATGGATTGTAACTATGAAACGAAAACTTTGTTCCCATTTTCAAGAAAGTAAAAGTTGATATGAAAAAATGAACAAATACATTTTAATCTGTACTAATATTATAAAGACGGAAGATTTGTATTTTTGTATGTATCAAAATAACTCAAAAACTACTGAGGCGATTTCAAAATTTCTTTTACCCTTAAAAAGCTAAATTATCATCTAGTAACATAGGCTACATTTTTTAATTTTACGAGGCCAAAGTCACGAGCAACAGCTAGTCAAAAATAAACTATTTCGAATTTCAATCAATAGGCGACCACTAGTACCTACTGATAAGCCCTCAGTAGAAAGCAACTTTGAATGATTTTAATGTATTGTACTTTGCCGAACACAAGTTTAGTATTTAGTATGAACTTGAAGTTCATCAGTTGCGGATTAATGAAGGCAGTTGAAGCTTGTACTGGTCGTGTCTGCCGACAAACGTTGACCCGGTCACCGCAGGAATCGATCGCCCGACCTGTACGCTCGAAATCGCCAACCATACATACTCGTACATCAGATTACAACAAAATTTACATAGTTTAATTTCTTCTTAATGATAAGTATTATTTAATAACTAGCTTTCGCACGCGACTGTATGCTGATGTGGTTTTCTAGACTTTGCTTTACATGCCTAATTTCTTAGAGATCCGTTCTGCCGTTTATAATACAAACTTTCAAAGCAATGATATTAGGTAAGATAATATCGTAGTTAGTAATCGATACTATCATAATAAAGCGTAAACACACACTTCTTTGTTGCCTAAGATGTCAGCAATTACAGCATACTTTTGAATAATTGGTTTTTTAATAAAAATCCCTACACTTTATGTCATGCTTAAGGCTATATTATTTCACGCAATTAAACGTAGGTGGTAAATAATTTGAATAAAAACCCTAATGTGCGAAAGAGACCATAAGTTGCTGACAACATCAATAAAGATTGCTAAGGTTTGTCATGTCATGTCATTTTGACATTTACTATTGATAATTTAACAAATGTTGCCAATAAAATAAAATTTTCATCATTTCATGCGGATGAAGCCGCACGGGACCACCTAGTTTAATTTAGTACTATTGAACTGTTAAATATCGATTATGTCTATATTTTAAAAACTGAAAACTGTCGAATAGATTTTAAAGGAAAAACAAAAAAAAAACTTTTAATATTTGCTGCAGTTTAATATACCCAATATAATATTTCACATTAATCAGAGACAAGAACTTGTTTAGAATTGGAGCCATAGTCATGTTATGCTTCAATAAAATATAGTCTTTACCTCTTATGTTTTCTTCGAATTTGTGCAGAATCTTACCAACAACCGTTTCTACATGTGCCAACCATCCTCCATCCGTCAATCTCAATATGGCCGTCGTGTAGTCAACCCAATACCCTTATTTCCGACATCTGACTACCGTCCGATTATTAACATAACAAGTAGAATTACATTTTAAAACCATGAAATAAATATTTAAATAATGTGTTGGATAACAATTACAAAGTTATTATTGTTATTTTAAATAAAGATAAATGGTATTGATTTGCACAGATTAAATAACCTTCAAGAATACAAAACACATAGAAATAGTTATAAAGCTAACAGTATGTAATATTCAATTGATTTACCCCGCGATCCTACCGTAACCATACAACCATAAACCCATTATTATAAGTCAACAAAAACTTCTTAAAAATTAAATAGCAAAGAAATATATAATATTCGTAGTTTATTGTCAATGTATCGATAGACTTATCTGCGTATAATGTTTAGATAAATTCCTTCATTGGGAAACACGAATAAACGCACAGGATCGTAATCGAATTCCTTCAGCGGGGTCTTCTTCGATGGCTCCACACGGAACTTTGACAACAGCTTCACAATACAAACGCGAGATTGCATTTTAGCGAAACGCATTCCTGCAACAAAGCAAAATGTGCGATAGAATATTAAACTAGCTTACACCCTTCACTCCGTCCGCGTACAACTTTAATAACAAAAGCAAGTAGACTATGTGTTTATCCAGACTATGCTTTACATCTATGCAAAATTCCATCGAGATTCTTTGAGCCCTTTAGGCGGCAAAATGTAAAATATTCGTCTAAACTTTTGATGTTAACACAATACTAGTAAGCAGTAATATATGTTTATAGTCTTTTTTTGACTAAAAATAGCTTGTTACAGTGAAAGAATTAAATTCCCTTCCCACTTAAGATTGAAAATCAAACAGGAAGCTGCCACCATAAGTGCTAGATTTTACAATGATGCGTTGATATAGCAAGTGCTAAATGTAATTCATGTGACGTTACACCAAAATGCGTAAGGAATAATAATAGTGATGGTACAATAAGATAATAATAAAATAACAGCCCGGTCTTTCCAGAAGATTCTATACTGATTTAAGCATGCATTTTGCAGTAGTCGCAAAATAAAGAACTGCTACATAAGAATGCTTCAAAATTGATATTATTGGTTAAAACGCAAGTATTCAGTCGTACAACGTTGGACCTTGTAATCTTTAGAGAAAGTTATCATTTTGTTTAACGCTAAACATGAATGTATCATTTTATAATTGAAGTCCTTTGCTTCTTAAAACAGGAATCCTAGTTAAGACAAGGCAATACTGATTGATTTAGTTGTACTTAGAGAGCAATAAATATATTTTTATTCTTAACCATTATTAAATATTTTAATTGAATAAAAATATATACATTTGTACATACCTATGCAGTTTCTGGGTCCGGTTCCAAATGGTAGGTAAGAACAAATGTGTCTGTTTTTAACATTCTCAGGGCTGAAACGCTCAGGATCAAATTTATCGGGATCAGGGTAGTAATTGGGATCTCTTTGAATTCCCCAACAACTTATAACAACGGTTTGGCCTTTCTTGATAATAATATCAGTGCCTGGTACTTTGTAGTCGCTATTGGCGTTACGTTGTATAGGATCGGCTATCGGATACTTCCTTAATGTTTCATCAAATACATGATCTAAGTACGTCATTTCATTTAAACAATCATAATTAATTTCACCATTATGTCTTTTAAGAACTTCGTCAATTTCTAGAATCACTTTGTCTTGTATGGTAGGATTCTTTGCCATTTCATATAGCATGTATGACATGGTCGAAGCGCTAGATTCATAGCCGGCTGCGTAGAATGCAAATGCCTGTGCTGCAATAATGCTGTCCGTCAGTTCGAGTGACGTTTGGTCTTCATGTTCGTATCTCTTTGTCCCTTCTATTGTTTTTTGTTGTCTCAATTCCAATATCAAATCCATGAAATCTTTTCTATTTGACGGTTTCCCTCCACGTTGTTTGATAACATTTTGGACGAGACTTAAGAAAAAATCTATTATTTGCTGTGGAAACAATGATCCACCGAACTTTTTCAAAATTCCAGGATACATCATATCTACTTCAGTGCTGTAATTTGCAGTGAAAATCATTTTGTCCATTTTTTGGAATGTTTTCATCATTTCGTCATCCAGATCTACACCGAAAGCGCACGCCGCAATCGCTCCAATTGTGTATTTTTGAATAAGGATATGTACAGGTTGTTCTGTTTGTTTTTCCTGAAGTTCTGTAACATACTCCATAAACTTGTCTCCTCGTTCAGTCATCAGATATAGCATGTTCTTGAGTTTTCCAGAGGTAAAAAGTGGTGTAAAACGATTCCTTATAATTCTCCATCTGTCGCCGTCAGCGTGGAAAATATTAGCTCCAAGCCCTTTGTCGTCGAATTCAATCCCTCTGTCGGTGAATAGGTCGAAATCTTTGATCATGATGTTCTTTATGACGTCCAGGTCTCGCAGTAATACAGACGGTGTTGTCATCCTGTATATCCCAACAACCTTTTCTTTGGGGTAAGCATCGTAAATGCTTTTATAAATAATGGGCAAAGGCTTGCGTCTTAAAACGGAATCCTTGATATTGCCGAAGAAAGGTAAAGGTTTGGGTCCAGCGACATTTCTACTCTTCCAGTAGTTAAATGTTCTTGTGAAATAAAAGTATAGAAGGGTAAATAAAATTGCCACAAATACCAATGGATACATCATGTTGACACGACGCGGTCACTGCTTGCAATTGTTGAATGATACAAGTCTTGAAGACGCTTAAATTTATATAAATTTAGTGCCGCTTATCGCTTCACTCTGCTTATTAGATCAGCATTAATGTAATCGGTAGGTACTGTCTATTCACTTTTATCCTTTAATTTTTTTGGGTTTTTTTTTTTAACTATTTTAGAAAAATCAATAAAGTGTTCTGAAGAGTATAGCAGTCTTGTTTCGGTAAAAATGGTACAGTACGCGAAGTGATTTTTAAGCTAAACTAATCGTCATAAATGACGAATAATTATTAATGAAAGTAAATTACCTACTTCTAAGTTTTTTAGTAAATATACAAATCGGGTAGATTTTTTAGCAAACAAAATTGCTTATTTACAAAATTAATTGGTATTACGATATGCACTTTTACAATTATCATACACTTTTTTGTACTGAAAAAGACTAGAATTTTTAATCATTTATTCTCTTTAGAAACTCGATGTTGACCAACTTCCATTGACATTCATAAAGGTGGGTTTTGTACCCAACGGTCAAAAATCCTTTGGACACAATCTTGCTTTGTATGCCAAATTTTACAATTCTTGAAAAAATAAATCTTTGCTGTTAATGCGGATTAGATCGTTTATTTCGTGAAGTCACAGGGAGGCTCCAACAGTGTTCTTCTGCTCTTAGATTTTATATTTTTGTACGTATAGAATATAAATTATTACACATTTGACAAAAATGCTTTTAGTTCACATGGGTTGTGCTTGTTTCTTATATACATATACGAGGCAATCGTAATCGTAAATTCCAGTGTCCTTTTTCTGTGTTATAATGGAAAAATTGGACCCCGTTTCTATGTTAGGAAAATTAAAACTCGAAGCCTAATTTATATAGATGTTATCATTGGTAATGCTAGCTGTATATTTCAATCAAATAAGATAGATGTAACCGGTATCGACTGCTTTATATTGTTAATCAATGTGCTTTTATCGCAATAAATTTGCCATTACTAAATTTGCTATTAAATTTATTTTTCCTCTTCTCTACTTTGTTACTTTCCCTATTTATTGTCTATAGAACCTTGGCTGTCATTTTTTACGTTCGAAAAACTGCCGCCTGCGCGTTCGATTTGTGATTCAAGTTTTTCTGAAGCGTGAGTCGCTAGAAAGACAAGCGTAGACTTTTCGTCTGGACTTTAAATTGTTTAAGACTTGAATGGAGTACAATGAATATATATGAAAATAACGTGACATGCTCAGTGAAAATTTAACCACAATTTAGAACTGTACAATATGTTATAGCTTGAACAGATTTTGTTACGATAATGTTATTTATTTAATCTATACTATTATAATAAAGCGTAAACACACACTTTTTTGTTGCCTAAGATGTCAGCAATTACAACATATTTTTGAATAATCCTTTTTTTAATAAAAAGCCCTACACTTACGTCACGCTTTAGCCTATATATTTTCACGCCATTAAACTTAGGGGGTATATATTTTGGACAAAAACCCTAATGTGGGAAAGAGATCATAAGTTGCTGCCAACATCAATAAGCAATATTGTCAAGTCATTTTGACATTTGCTATTGAAAACTGACAAATGTAAACAATAAAATAAAATTTTCATAATTTCATGCGGATGAAGCCGCACGGGAACAGCTAGTCAAATTATACATTAATTAACAACTTCCTTATCGAACAGAGTCGCATCTGTATTTGCGTCTCACCTGTTGTATATTATTGTACGTAAATTGTGTTTATTACATATGCTAGCATTACATATCATATTTTAAAACACGCCCATGTGTGCGAACGCGTTACACATATCATTCTGCGTTTTTCTTACGCAGAATGAATTGTGTAAAGGGAAATCCATAACTGATAATTTTAATCAATTGTTTACACAGAAGTCGTAAATATTTGTCTGTCTTGATGTAAAAACATTAATGTCAAATAGCACTGGTATAAATAACATTTGTTGTAAAAACTATTGTTTTTTTTTTAATTTTAAATACGTTTAAGAGGATAAAGGATGTTTATATAATATTGTAGATGATACTTTTTTGATTTTATTAAACGGATAGTTGTAGGATTGTTTACATTAATTCAAAAATAGCGTACTTTTATACTAGTACTACTTTTTGCTGCGTTTTATCCATTGAATTAAAACATCTAATAAAATTGCTAATGGTGGATAGTATGGCTTCCCAACAATGCAATCATTTTTCGGTTTAAAAGCTTATTGAAAACAATCAATCAAATCTTTCCTCTTAATAATATTAGTATAAACGATTTAAAAGTTCAAATAAATTTTGCAGCGAGTGAACCAGCGGGCACAACTAGTCATGTAATACTGATGTGACGTATGCAACGTTTCTGTAGTCTCATTGTTATAATTAAGAATTGAATAAAATTTTATTCGTTACAGATAATTTTTTGTATATCATTAAAACGTATAACAAAAATGCTGATTAAATTTATCACTAACGGGTATTTTAATAAGATAAAAAATTGCTTTGCAGTAGATGCTCGGTACGTAATTTTAATTTTATGCACTTATTTATTTGATAATATTGTAAAGTATTTAGTTTAAAACCATATTTGAAAGAATGTCCGTTGGAACCTCCAAAACATCATAGAAGAAAACAGATGAAGTGTCAACAAATTCTTGTGTACCGTCAAAGACGTTTAAAAAAATATAGTCAAGGCATAGTGAACAATTTTTTTTCTTCTAACTGACTTGTAATAAAATATTTTACGAAATTGTAATAAGTTCCAATCTTATGTTATAAAGTAAACAATACAGTTACAGAATAAAATATATAGTCACTTCAATATTACTTGTTGAAACCTATTAGCAATTATTATAAATACGATTAATTATGTTGAGATGTTTTTTTAATATTTCTATCAATAGACAACGGTCGTGAGATTATGTGAAAATTGTTTAAGTGAAGTGTCAACTATGCATACTTTATATATTTTAATCTCTTTGTTTACTCTACTCTTATTAATGCTGATATATTTTTAATTAAATACTAAGTCTTAGGGCCTGTCCCACCACTGGCTGGTAAGACTCAGATAGCTTGAAATGACGTCACTGTCAAATAAAGGAACAAAATCCGATATTTCCATCATATATTTTACACGTTCGATTGTTATTAACAATTTACAATTTGGTAGGACAGGCCCTTATTGTCGTAGACAGGGACGTTTGGTCATTGAAGACATCAGTTAGCGTTAGTTTAAACTACACTAATGAAATTAATTCTAATGTAACAGTACAGCAGTGATAAAATGGATTTTTTTTTGTCTTTAGGCTGTACGGCTGGAGTTGTACTGCAGATGTCGCCGGAGTGCCGAGTGCGGAGCGAGGAGC